TGCTGCCGTTGAACCTCCGCAGCATCACCGACTCCGCGCGCAGCTGGCGTGGGCCGAACCTGGGCAGGAGGAGCAGGCAGAATTCCTGATGCCAGGGGTGGAGGGGAGGGAAGAAGGGCCACGGAGTGAAGGGCTGGTTTCCCCAGCAAGTCCTCACCTGGCTCCCGGGCGGTTGGACGTGCCCGTGTCCAGGGGGACGCCGACGAAAGCCGCGTCCAGCCCCTCCGCTGATGCCTGGATGGGCAGTTTCATCATGGAGCAGATCCCAACTGGCCGGGCCACCGAGAGGGCACTGGGGGGCACGTTGAGCTGGGAGGCCCAGCGTTGAGGGGCTGGGGAACCAAGGAGCCCCACAGACACGCTGGGTGAGGAGCCAGAGGTGGGCAGAGGAGCTGGGGACAAATGTGGGGTGGTCGCGGCAGAGATCCTGGGAGTGTGGATCCCGGCTCCCCGGGGCAGCAGCCAGCTGCAGCCAGCCCACAACAGGCTCCTCATCCTGCCCCACGGGCTCCAGGCCCCTGCCCCACACAGAGGGGTGTCCCTGCTCGGCTGGAAAGCTGCAGCTGGGCAGAGGAGCCAGACACCACCGTGCCTCTCTCCACCCCGTCCAAAGGTTCAAAGCGCAGCCAGACAACGCTCTGCTCTGGGAAGGGCAGGGATTTGGCTCCAGCCTCACCTTCCCAGCTGCCTCCTCTCCCCAGAGCACAGTCTGGTTCCTGGCAAACATCAGGAACAAACACAGCAGCACAAGGCTTGAGGGTCTCCAAGAGCCTGCCAAGGGACGGGCGCGACGGGGACAAGCGCTGGGAAATGTTCCAGTTTTGTTTCCCTGGGGCATTTGCAGAAAACAAGGCAGCACTGGAGGCATTCACAGCAGCTGCTTTTAACCTGCACTTTGCAAAAGCAAAGCACTCAGAATGCTGAAGAATCAGAAAAAAAGTCTCATTAATGAAAGGCAGGCAGGGAAAGAAAACAAACCAGAAGCCTAACCTCAGCAGAACTGCAGGCTGACAAAATGCAAGCCAACAAGAATCAATAATAGGGATTTAAGAACCAGAGGCTGTGCTGCAGGACAAGCATTTCAAGCCATTTTTGAGGACAGAGATGAAACAAGATGATTTTCCAGAGGCAGCAAGTTTCCAGTGTCTGGAGCTCACCAGCACAGATCATACCCTGGTTGGCCTAATAATAACACGCTTGAAATCTCATGCCTCTGGCTCCTCATTCTGGTTCCTACTTGTGTAGTGATTGGACCTGGGAGGAAAATTAAGGGGAAAAAAAAAAAAGGGAGGATGTACAGAGCAGAAATCCTAGAAATCCTGCTCCACTCAGCTGGTTTGGGTATGGAATATGAGTGTATTCCACACACAGGACTGATGGGACAAGGAAAGACTCAGCACGTCCTGCACCTCGCTGAGCTAACCAGCTCCTCCTGGCTTGGAGAAACAGCAGGGAGAGGTCAGAGCAGAGAGCTACCAAAAAAACAGCAGTTTACTCTTCAAAAAGCTCCAGAGTCAGTGCCCGGGGCTCGCTGCCAGACAAAAGGGCACAGAGCTCCAGGAGAGCACCCACAGACTCAAGGCAGCCACCCCAAAACACCCTGCAGGAGCTCAGGATCTAAGACAAAGCAGCAGCAGCCTCGGTTAGGGTCAGGCCAAGGCTAAAACCATCTTTTTCTACAACTTTTTGCCCAAAGAGCTCATTTTCTGTGATTTCCCAGGCTCAGTGCTCTTTGCTGAGCCTTCTTCACAGCCCCACAGGCAGGGCTGTTCCACAGCGGGCAGTTTTTTGCCCTGCTGCTGACCCAGACACTGTCTCAGTGTGTGGGACCTTGACAACACGTCACCGAGGGATGATTTGCTCTGGGACATCAGCCACTTGGCACATGATGTCCTCGACCTGGGAATTACAGGAGCAGCCAGTGACTTACTGGTCAGAAGAGTATGAAATGGCCACAAGGCAAAGCCCATTCCTCTTCAGGAAACTCCACTTGGTGGAATAAAATAACATGTTCCAGAAGCTGCACTGGAAAGAGCATCTTTGAAGCCACCACTTAAGCAGGGCTCCCTTGCCCCCGAGGCTCCCACGACCTAAAACCTGGATCCCAAGAATGGAGATGAACCAGATGAACCCACACAGCAGCAGAGCTTAATTGTCAATTTATTGTGCAATGAGTGTAAGTAACATTGTCCCCAGGTTCCTCTGAACACAATTACAGACATGAAATCCAATGATGCTTTCATAAACGAGACTATTGTTGCTCAAACCCTGATGTCTCCTCTCCTCCCTGACCAAAGGATATGACTTCATTGTTAAACAGAAAAAACAGGTTAGTAAAAGAGAAGAGCAGGCACTGCTGCTCAGCCCCCTTTTCTTTGCAGTGTTACCCCTCACTGGGCACAGCCTGACTCAGCCTTGGACCCTCACTGCACAAATACAACAGCCAAGAAACAAAGGTAAGTGGGTTTGGGGTTGGCTGCTTTTGCATACAGCTAACTAGGTATGTAGTGGTGCATTACTGGAAGAAGAAAGCAGCTCCTGACACCCACCTTAGCAGTCAGCACCTCACTAGGAGGCTTTTAGGCTTGAATTTTATAGCAAGATGTGGCTCCCATCTTCATATCAGCTGAAGACCCCCCCAGTCTCCTCAAGAAAGATTGAACACCCCTTTGTCAGCTCAGCTTTCTCAGTGTGTTGTTACACTCTGTGATGCTGCCATATAAAAAGCAGCTAGACAGTGTCTCCTCCCACACACTCCCCCTTCTGAAAGGGAACTGGCTTCACTCAACACACAACTTCTAAGTCAATTATGAACTCCCCAATGGGAATCAAACCAACCAGGTACCTCAGGACACCTGCAAGGTCCACAAACCCTCACCAGAAGGGTAACGAAACGAGGGCATTTCCTCTAGGAGGGGGAGAAAAGCAGGGTGTGCTAACACTTGCTAGAGAGAAACTCAACCCCTTCAACACAGGCCTGCAGTTTTGTTCCCTAAAGCACTACAGAAAAGACAGATTCCTACGTGCCTTTAGAAAATGCATTTATCTGCTGCACAGCCCAGACCCAGGTGCTTCTCTTCACTCAGCCTGGCTTCTCCAGGCCAGCAACAGCAGCATTGCTGCCCACAGGTCTTCATACTCCAGGTTTGCCAAAAAGCACATCTTCATTTTGGTTTCTACCCGGCTTTTATCCACCAGTCCATCCATGAGCAAAGCAGCTGCAGACTGGCAGAGGAGCCAGGTAATCATCTGGTCGGGTTGCAAGGCCCTGGAAGCCAGAACCCCCTCGCCCCAGAGGCTGAGGTGAAGCACGTTGGCAGCAACACGAGCAGACAATCTCTGCAGAAGGAAGGAGAAGGAAGATGAGCTGCTAGGATGGAGCATCTCCACTGCCACCAGTCCCCCAGGCCTCCCCTCTCCAAGGCACCATGAAGTCTGTCTGAATCAAAAAGCTGTTTGTGACTATTAACTCCATGCAACCCTCCCCTCCCCCAGTTCAAGGTCCAGTCCCAGACAGAAACATCCACTGACATTCCTGAAACTGCTCAGTGGCCACACTGCACTTCAGCAAAGACTTTTTGTTTGTCTTTGATCATTACCTTGGCCAAAAGGATATCAGGATTACAGTCCTGAGCCCTCCAGAGTGAAATCACCCACAAAAATCACTGCCAAAAGCTGGTTAGATGGTTTCTTCAAGCCAACAGTTTCTTACCTTGTTGGGATCCCTCTGAAGCAGCATCTTTATCACTTGCTTCACCTCCAGGGGCACATGGTGGGGCAGGCTGGGCAGCTGGTCTTCACAGTAACTTCTGCTTTCCAGACTGGAGTCCCCATGGCCATAGAAAGGATTGGCCAGGCCAAGGATTTCGTAGGCAATGGCTCCCACAGCCCAGGCATCAGCTTTGCTGTAGTTGATCACCCTGCCCGGGCCAGGGGAGGCTGTGATCACCTGCCACCAAGATGGGGAAGTTCAAACAACCAGCTCTAGGGTGGACTCTGTGCCAAAATTCACGTCCAAGGGTCAAGGCAGGCCTTCAGCTGTCATGAACTGAGAGAGACTGAAACCAAAGCTCGGTTTCCTCTAAATCCCTGGTGGGAATAATCCCACCTTTGGCACTGCTCAGCCCACCAGGACCTTGGGAGGAGGCACAGGTCATTGTTCCTCAGCTCTGGTCATTGCCCCAGGCCAGTATTCAGAGGCCTGAAGGCTGTTTCTGGGATTTTAGGTAGAGAGAAGAGGTACAGGTGACCAACAGCTAGTGCACCAGGACCTGAGCCACACAAGGGAAGGTGCTGCAGGTCAAGCAGGCAGCTAAAGGGGACTTTGCTTTACTACAGTCACCCCCAGAGAAAACAAAAAGAACTCTGAGTAACTTCACAACTCTGTCCAAAACCTACTGTTGCAGCACAAGGACTGGCTGCATAAACTTTTTTAATAGTTACCTGGAGAGGAACCTAAAAAAAAAAGACTGAAGAGCCAACTTTTTTTGTGGGAAAAGTCACTTCTGCCTTCAACTGATGATGTTCCACCTTTGGGCAAGGTGTCTGGGCAACAACAGCTCAGCATAGGCTCAAAGAGGATTTTGTTAAATGAACACAGAGATGTTTAACAAGCATAACTCAAATCAGGACAAGGATCTCCCCTGTCACTTGGCAGGACAGGGCTCTCCATGACAGGGTGCAGGGTGAAACGTGGCAGGCAGCAGCCAGCTACAGGTACTGGGTGTGCTGGGTTTGTCTGGGACAGAGTTCCTGCATTTTTCAAGTTCCTGCAGCACAGCTGGGGTTGAAACTTGGTAGTCCTGCCAGCAGGGCAAGCAGCAAGACACAGGGATAGGAGAGGGGGACTCACCTCGGGTGCCATCAGGCAGCCGTTGCCGCCCCGATCCACATAGATGCTGGGGAAGGGCAACCTGAGGTTCTCATCTGCCAAACAGCACCCAAAGTCAGTGATCACCAGCCAGGGGCAGCCAGCTGTAACAACAGGGGACAGCAGGGTTGGTGTCCCCTTCAGGAGGACCTGGCTGTGGCAGACACCACACCACAGGGACACCTCTCCTACAAAGACAGGCTAAGAGCTGGGGGTGTTCAGCCTGGAGAAGAGAAGGCTCCAGGGAGACCTGAGAGCAGCTTCAGTGCCTGAAGGGGCTCCAGGAAAGCTGGGGAGGGGCTTGGGACAAGGGCAGGGAGGGAGAGGACAAGGGGGAACAGTTTCAAACTGGGAGAGGGAAGAGTTAGGTTGGACATGAGGAGGAAATTCTTTGGTGTGAGGGTGGTGAGAGCCTGGCCCAGGTTGCCCAGGGAAGCTGTGGCTGCCCCATCCCTGGCAGTGTTGAAGGGCAGGTTGGATGGGGCTTGGAGCAGCCTGGGCTGCTGGGAGGTGTCCCTGCCCATGCAGGGGGTTAGATCTAGGTGATCTTTATGGTGCCTTCCAACCCAAACCACTCCATGAGTCTATGACACCAGAGGTAGGAGTCTCAAACTCCCCAGGACTCAGCACAACCACACTCTGTTTTCCTGCCTCTCTTCCATTTCCTCTTCAGAGGATATTACTGCTCCCTGGGGAACTTGCATCTCCCACAGCATCACAGATGCCATAAAATGGAAGACACACAAGCTTAGATACTCATCCACAATGGAGGAATGTATTCATTTCTTCCCTCTGGTTTTATCTACAGCAAAAGCTACTGACCCACAGACACATCCTCAGCTACAGCAAAAAGGCTGGAGAAACTTTGCATGAATTATTAGTTCTGATGACAATTCAAACACTGCAAAACACAATCCTTATTTCTCCAGACTCCAGTATGGAAGAACCAATGCTTGAGATCATTCCAAACCACATCCAGCATAGCTCCAGAGCAGCTTTTCCTTCAAGAAGGATGGCATTAGTATCACTAAAAACCTTCCATGGCTGCTGCACCAAAACCTTTAATTACCCAGCTCTGGCTGCCTCCTACTGTGCCCTGTGTATTTGAATCTCAATCAGGTTGAAAAAGAGCTCAGGTAATGAAAACCTCAGTCAGAGAGGCTGACAGGAGAGCAGGGAGATGAAGATGCTGCTTTTGGCTCTGACACTGCCTGTTCCCTTGCCTTCCAACCAACATTCCATCCCCCCAGGGTTACAGCACAACCAACCTGAGCAAGAGGTGGGGTTTGAAGAGAGGACAGAGCCAAGAGCCCGAAGCCAAGGCACCTCCAGCACCACCAGTGGGACATCACTACATGCCCACCTGCCTCAGGCAACACCTGCTGGGCTTGTGCCTCACATCACCTTTGCACCTGATTACAGCACAACTTTCAAGTCTGATAATGCAGAGCCTGGGGTGCAGGCAGGACAAATGGCTTCCCCAGTGGCAGCAACCTGAAAACTACACCTGAGATTCTTCAAAGGCTTTGATGCTCTTTTTCCAACCCCCCCCAAAAACACACACACCTGGGTAGGACTTCCCCAAATACAAACACGACTTCAGCACTCCTGGCTGTGCATGAATTGGCCTTTGTGTAAAGGAGCTACTGACCAGAATCAAATTCAACCAGGATGTTGTCAGACTTGAGGTCTCTGTGTGCTATTCCATGTTGGACAAGATGATCCACTCCTTCCAACAGCTGCAGAATCATCATCGTGGAGAGACGAAGGTCTGGGCTGTTCCCCCTCAGGTACTGGTGCAGGGTGCAGGGGTAGCTGCTCAGAACAAGGGAAAACTTGGAATTAGAACCTGGGAGCTTGTGGTTCCACCTCAGTGCTGGCTGGCTGGGGACACTGGACATTTCACAGAATCATTCTGGTGGGAAAAGACCTTTCAGATCATCCAACCCAACTATTAACCCAACTCTACCAAGGCCAGTGCTAAAAACCATGTCCCTCATCACATGGCTTTGAAACACCTCCAGAGGTGGTGGTGACTCCTGAGCAGCCTGTCCCAGTGGTTGATAACCCTTTCACTGAAGAAGTTTCTCCTCAAATCTAATCTGAACCTCTCCTGGCACAGCTTGAGACCATCTCCTCTTGTCTTTTCGATGTGCCAAACTCTTCCTGACCTCTCTGATGCCTTCCCACCTCCCAGCCTCACCCTGGCACCCCTCTCTGCTGTTCTCAAATCCTCTGCTTTGCAGCAACACCCACCACCAAATCCTCAGTGCCCAAGTTTGACAGCTGTGAATAAAATAACCAGTATGGTGAGGGGGCTGCAGGTTCACAAGGGTCCCTCTCCCAGGTTCTTCTGTCCTGGGGTTATATTTTACAGGAAAGAGGAGGCAGATGAATCATGTGGATTGTACCAGCTAAATGAGATCAGGAAAAAGAACATATTCCTGAATACAGAGAGGGCAGAGCAGAACAAGAGTGGGAGGCAGGAGGTGCTTTTACGTCAGTGCCACAGCCACACTCATTGAAAACAAAGCCCAGCTGAGACAGCCAGAGGTGCTGGGCACTAATCAATCTCATTAAGGATTCAACTCCATCTCTAGCAACGTGTTCAGACTAGGGGTGAAGTTCAAGCTTGGAAGAGCAGCCAAACAGGGCCAAGCTCCACATTTCCTCCTGCAATGTGAGGTCATTCTTGAAAAAGAACAGCTTGTCTTTGTCTCCAAACAAGAGTTAAAATCTCAAGGGCTTGGATGGGGTTCTGGGAGGCACTTCCTGGAGCCTGCTCTGCTTTATTTTTTTTTTTGGCAGCAGCTGAGGCCAAGGAGCTGTGCAGCAGCAGAGCACACAGCCCTGCTGGGCAGTGCCAGAAGGAGCCCAAGCCCCAGAAGAACCTTCTCTCCACCTACTTTTTCATCACCAAGAAGAGCGTGCGGCTGTGGCCGATCCCTCTGGGGTTCAGGTTTAATGGAAGAACATCTGGATACTCTGTGAAGGCTCCAGGCAACAAAGGGACAGAGGATGTGAAGGCTCTGATCACCTGGATTATATTTGGGTGAGGTCTCAACTTCTTCCTCCCAAGGACAGGTTTTCTGTGCAAAAGATGATAGGAATGTCCTGGTCAGTTCTGATTTATCATGGACATGTCTCTGTTATCTGTGAAATGACTTTTCATTAGCACAGCCTGTCCTCTCCACCACAAAGTTCCTAAACACTGTGCAAACATGTTTATTCTGCAGGGAAGACCTTAGAGAGACAGGAAAGATGACAGGGCTGCCCATTAAGCAAGTATTCCAAAATTCACATCATGGAAGCCCCTGGGTTGGGAAGACCACAGACAGCAACCTCCAGGTCCTGGGTGCTCAAGCAGCACTTCAGCCCAGTGCTTCCCACCTTGGTGCTGAGCACCCACAGCCTGAGCACATCCACCACAGCAGTCCCAGCACTTTCTCTGGAGTTCAAATTATCTACCCTGGTGCTTCCCAGAGGGAAGGGAGGGGATTCTCCCCCTTTACTCGGGTCTCATGAGACCCCACCTGGAGAACTGTGTCCAGTTCTGGACCCTCCAGCATAAGAGGGACATGGAGCTCCTGGAGAGAGGCCAGAGGAGGCCACAGAGATGCTGGGAGGGCTGGAGCAGCTCTGCTCTGGAGCCAGGCTGGGAGAGTTGGGGTGTTCAGCCTGGAGAAGAGAAGGCTCCAGGGAGACCTTAGAGCAGCTTCCAGTGCCTGAAGGGGCTCCAGGAAAGCTGGGGAGGGACTTGGGACAAGGGCAGGGAGGGATGGGATGAGGGGGAGGGATGAAAACAGGACCCCATGTCTCTGACCAGGTTATTTTTGGCTCAGCTTCGTGGTCTTGAAAGCCACAGTCAGAGTGCAAAAAAAGCCTCAGCCATAGGAGAAGTTAATTAAAATTTACTTAGGAGAGTTAAATATTCATTATTTGGCTTCAATTACTGCCTTGGAGTGGGTCTGGGGGGGGGTGTGGGGGGGTGGGGTG